ATGATGTAGAACCGTATCCAGCAAGCTCACATCCAGCTCAAACACATCAGACAAAAGCTAAAAAAAATCGGACCGGGCAAAATTTCAGAGATTATTAGATGACTCACCTTCTCCTTACAAAAGTCAAGTTTTGACTGTGACACATGCTGAGCAACTGGTTCCAGCTGAGTCACCTGTCACTATTATGCATGGTGTTATGATAAAGGTATTTAATTTAAAGAGGGTTATTTATTTTTGTTGGTGTCTTACATGAATGGAAACATTTATTTGAAAGGGGCCCTAAATTTTTTACGGTAGCATTGATGAAAGAAAATAGTAGTTTGTGTTTTGAAAGATTTCATTGAACAACTGCATTTGAAAACAGCTAATTATGCACCTGCAACATGTTTTTGGAGACACCGTTTTCAAGAACACAATTTTAAAAAAACAAACACTTTTTTTCATGCATTTCTTGGTTATGAAATTTCTCAAAGAGGTTTCCATTCGAATCCGTTTGCTTCATACAGTGCTTATCTTCATTTCTTTACATCCATTTTTTGAGTAATTTATTTTAAGCAGTTTTAAATCATTGTCTACGTTTTAGTCTTTGATAGAGATGATTTTTAAACAAATTATTTGAATGATTTTTTGCTTTTATTAAAGATCGCATGTTCACGCCATTTCTTTCAACATTGTGACTTTTTTTATTTCCTGGATAGAAACTATTTCACCAAAATTTTGATTTTATGCTTCCAGCTTGTGGAAATGGAACTCAAAAAAAAAATATATAAAAAAATAAATAAACTTCCGGGAATAAGCCCAGATTTAAGTTCTATGGGAAGAATGCCACTGTTTATTACAAGCTCACTATGGGAAGAATGCCACTGTTTATTAAAAGCTCACTATGGGAAGAATGCCACTGTTTATTACAAGCTCACTATGGGAAGAATGCCACTGTTTATTACAAGCTCACTATGGGAAGAATGCCACTGTTTATTACAAGCTCACTATGGGAAGAATGCCACTGTTTATTACAAGCTCACTATGGGAAGAATGCCACTGTTTATTACAAGCTCACTATGGGAAGAATGCCACTGTTTATTACAAGCTCACTATGGGAAGAATGCCACTGTTTATTAAAAGCTCACTATGGGAAGAATGCCACTGTTTATTACAAGCTCACTATGGGAAGAATGCCACTGTTTATTTCAAGCTCACTATGGGAAGAATGCTACTGTTTATTTCAAGCTCACTATGGGAAGAATGCCACTGTTTATTACAAGCTCACTATGGGAAGAATGCCACTGTTTATTACAAGCTCACTATGGGAAGAATGCCACTGTTTATTTCAAGCTCACTATGGGAAGAATGCTACTGTTTATTTCAAGCTCACTATGGGAAGAATGCCACTGTTTATTACAAGCTCACTATGGGAAGAATGCCACTGTTTATTACAAGCTCACTATGGGAAGAATGCCACTGTTTATTTCAAGCTCACTATGGGAAGAATGCTACTGTTTATTTCAAGCTCACTATGGGAAGAATGCCACTGTTTATTACAAGCTCACTATGGGAAGAATGCCACTGTTTATTACAAGCTCACTATGGGAAGAATGCCACTGTTTATTTCAAGCTCACTATGGGAAGAATGCTACTGTTTATTTCAAGCTCACTATGGGAAGAATGCCACTGTTTATTTCAAGCTCACTATGGGAAGAATGCCACTGTTTATTTCAAGCTCACTATGGGAAGAATGCTACTGTTTATTTCAAGCTCACTATGGGAAGAATGCCACTGTTTATTTCAAGCTCACTATGGGAAGAATGCCACTGTTTATTTCAAGCTCACTATTTCAAGACGCATTTCCCTTAACCCCCCATCCCTAATTTTATGTGTTCAAGTGCCATAAACATTTCTAACTCGTCCAACAGCCCCAGCACACAAACTAAATATTGCAAACATAACGCAAGTGCACATTATCCTTTAAATCAAGTTGGGAAAACCTTTCACACAGAAATCTTCAACTGGATAATACCAGACGGCAGTAAACCCGGATGCTATATTTAAATGACCTTCAACCTCGGGAACAATGAGAGGTCCTCGTAGAGCGAACCCAGCCAATCACATACTGTACGTCAGTCCTTCGGCAGGTCAGGTGGTGAACACTTTGGTGTTTTGAACTAACTTTCTATTTCTGGTCATTTCCACATTTGTCCTGTCTGTCGAGAAAGGCTCTTAGCTGACACGTTCCTCTTTATTTTCCTGTCTTTTCTGATTCCAGCTTCGACACACGTTTTTTTTCGCCTTTTCCTTCTGTTATTTATAATCAGGTTGGATCCTTGTTTTGTCCCAGGTGATTCACTGAATGTTCCAGAAATACAACTGAATTCGAGACATGCTTAACATTTTATCGTTCTAAAAAATGTGTATTAATTTATTTTTAGCACTCTGAGTTATGCATATTCTCGATAACGTTGTTATTTGCAAGATATATTTCTAATTTAGTCTTCTACAGCATAGCATGAAGTTGATCCCTTTTCTTTGTATTAAATTTGAAAACAAAATTGGCAAAATTCATTATCTGGTTGTGAGAATAAAAACAAGACAACACACAAGAACCTAAGTTTTGAGCAAATAAAAAACAAAATTTGTTCAATAGATGTCAGAAGTTAATTTATGCACGGCACCATATTATGTAAAGTATTTAATTTATTTCCTTCAGTTTACTTTTAACCTGATTATAAATGGGCCCACGTTCTGGAACCAGCTCCCCTTCCATATCCGTCATTGTGAAACCTCGTCCACTTTTAAAAAGTTCCTTAAAATCCATCTGTTTAGGTCCGCCTATGACCTGTGATGCACCCTCCTTGCCCTGCCTCATTTTCTGTCTCGGGTTAATCCTGTAATATAGGCCAAAACGTGCCAAAGTGTCCTCGTTTTATAGCCATTTTGATTGTTTCTATAGTATAGTAGTTACTATCCTAGTGTCTCATTTTTATTTTAGTTAGTTTACATGTTTTTAATAATTGTAAAGCGCTTAGAGCTTTAAGGTAAGCGCTATATAAAAATGCCTAAATAAATAAATCAATCAATGGGGTCGAGATTTTGATAGTTAAGTTAAGCAACCTAACCATTCTTAAATCTTTGTTTTGTGTCAAGTTTTACTTAAAACTTTTTTTTTTAAAACTTGAAATATGTGTCTTCTTTTAAAATATCCATTTAAAAATATTTTAATTGATAGGTGGTGCGATTGATGAGACCAAATGATGGTTTATTCTCGGTATACTGCATGCAATTTTGGCCTTTTATGATATATTTCATCAGTTTGGTTTAGTCATGGTGTATGTAGTCCAGTGGTCAGCTCTTTAGCCACTTGAGTGCGGCTCTTTGGCCGTGCGTATCGACGTGAACAATCTTTTTCAAGCGTGAACCACATCACGAGTACATTGCAAAGTCGTTCAAATGAGAATCCGGAATCATGCTTGAAATTAAAAACAACGACATACATACCAGACTTACCAAAACTTTCCCAGGAAATGAAAAGTCATAGTTCACATTAAATGAGTGTTTTGTATTTCTTGTCAATAATTAAGATTATTACATTAATATTTGGTTGAATTTAATGTTTATTGCGTTTGTTTTAAATATTTTGTCACTAGATAAGATGATTATTATTATTATCATTTTTGGTTGTATTTAATGTTTAGTTGCCAGTTTACACCGACTCCAAAAAAGATGACTCTTGACAGGTTCTTAAATTTTTTTTTTTTTTTTTTTTTTTTTTTTTTTTTTTTTTTTTTTTTTTTTTTTTTTTTTTTTTTTTTTTTTTTTGGGGGGGGGGGGGTTTGCGGGGGTCAGTAATTATATATTTTATAGGACAATGTTAGCAATTGAAACCTATACCTAATTCCTTTTCTCCATCGTGGAAATCTGTTAATTTACAGTAATATGTTACAAAATAAGTGTACAAATTAATTAAAAGTACTATTTAGGCTTTTTTAAAGTACCGTATATGACAAAATAAAAGTACTGAAATCCACAATTTGAACGCGTAAGAGCATTTGTTGAATGTGCATCGATCCAGCCAACAAGCATCCCTAATATTACACAAATAATATGGTGGAAGCTGTAGTTTGAAATGGGTCTCTTGAAGTATTAAAAAAGGTATTCATAAGTTTTCAACAGTTTCGTGCCAACGTTCTGTGTCGTCTTTACGTAACGTTTTTGAAAAAATAATGGTGGAACAATTACGAGAGGGATTTAATAAGACGACACCATTAGTCAGAAAATATTATTCCTAAACAGATATGAATCTTCATAAACCATCTGCAAAAATGTTCCCCAATTCACCATCTTGGTTCGCATATCATCCGTCAATGTCAAGCGATACTCAAATGCATGTATGTCCAGAAACAATCGCAATAGACGTATAGCTTATGTTCCCTTTCTTCAAGGATCTTTTGCTTAGACGTTGTAGGGAAAAATGTAGCATCTTCTGGATAATAACTGCGACATTCTCCATGGAAATAGTTACGATTAAGGCAGGCTTTTACTTCTGTTTCTTGGATCACGATCCAAAAGCCTTTTTATTTTTTGTTTAGTTTAGAGGCTTTTAAGTTCAATGCAAATGGAGCTCAAGAAATATGTTTAAAATTTAAAAAAAAAAACAACTAAATAATTCCTTCCATTCAGTAGATGGCACGCCTCTGTCTACACTGAGGCTACAACTTAAAGAAGGGCGTAGTGTAAATAATTTTTACTTTATTCTGTGTACGATTTTGTGAACACTTCTCTAACTTGACCATGAATTCCAGCACTCAAACTCCTTAGTGTCAAACTTAATGAGAGTGTATGGTTTGGATTGAATCAAGTTGAATTACTTCTTACACTGAATAGTTTAACCGGATGGCTCTTGAAGGTAGGAAAACCCTATGCCATATTTTTACTCCTCTCAACCTTGGGGGAACAATACCATTGCCATGTTCAACAATCACCCGATCAAATAAGGAAATCCTGGCTTCAGACGTTATCTTCCTTTCCCTCTGGCGGCAGGTCAGGTTTGATAAAGAAATCATTTGTTTGTTTCGAGAGACTACAGGTGAGGTCTGTAACTATTAAAAAAAGCAAATCAAGTTTCGTGGTGGGACTGATACAAACATTAAGTGCCACTGAATTTGACAGAGTCTCACTATTGAAAGTTTGTTTATATAATTGTTTGGCTAACAATTAATTTAATAATAGGGTTGTTTGATTCTAGATTTAGTTATTCAACAGAGCTCATGAAGTAGAAATAGATTCTTGTATTTAAAAAAAAATATAAAACAAATTGTAATACGCTTATTAACAAATAATAACAACGACTCCTTTTTGGGTAAATAAAATCAAGTATTGCTACTTTGATACAAGAAGTTCATTCATTCCCTGCGTTACATTCTGTACAGGTATTTTACAAATTCATTCAGTTTTTATATACCAGCTAATTCGACAATGTGTTCTTTAAAAAAAAAAGCATTTTGGAAGAAAAGGCTGAAAGAGCTTACGATTTGAATCTGATTAAATTTTTATCAGATTTCGTTAATGCTCTAATTGAAATTAATTTCATGTGTAATCTGCAACCCATGCAAATAGTCAAATCCTTTGATAAATAGAAGAACTAGAAGAAGGCTTAAATTGGGGTTAGAGGAAACAAAATTTGAAGCTAAATGGCATCCTTAGTTTTCAGGGGTTCATTGAAATTATAAAATGTGTCTACTTAACGAGCGAAATTATTACGCGTTCATTCACAAAATTTCGATGTTTAATTCACATATAAAATTATAACTTTTTAAAATATCAACCAATTTGTTTAAAATTTTGCAAGAAGCTATATTATATACGTGTATATTTCAGCCACTAAGGATATTGTATATATTAATAAGCACAAGATACGTCTCAAAATCAAGGAATTAATTTGATAATTATTCTTCTTTTTGGGTTCATAAATATCGTTGTTAGGAAATATGATGTGTACATTTTTACGTTGATTACAATATATTTAAATCCTATGGTATTACATTTGTGAAAAAAGAAATGTCCGTATCTCTTTTTACAAATAAAATTATGTTTAAAATTTTAAAAAATCAATGGCATTAACAAAACTTTGGGTATATTTATATAAGTATTTCGCTGACTTGAAAATTTAATTTTGAAAAATGGAGAAGAGTTAAATTTTTTTTAAAAATTAAAATATATTGTTATTTTTACTTTGCGAAAAGTGAAGTGGGTGTTTATTTTTATGAGATTAATCTTTTTTTTTTTAGGACACTCAAGTCTGTTATAGAAATGAAAAACGGTTGCGAGATTCTTCATTAGATACAAGAGATTTTTGATAATGTATAATGAAAAAAAAACCAAGGCAAAAGTTTGTTAAAATTTTTGATGAAGATATTCACATGTCAAATTCATTTAATTTAAAATATTTATACAATATACAGAGTTTTTGTTGTAAATTTAAGATTATGATTCACAATTTTTAGATAAAAAGTTGTAGTTCAAGGACATGGAAAGGGGTAAATCTAAAGTATTCTCTAGCGTAGAAATCGACCCTCAATGAACTTCTTTAGTGACAAAAGTGATATCATTACTGATCTTTAGATTGGGTTATTTAAGGTCCTGTTTAGAGGGCGGAAAAGCAGTTAAAGAACTTGAAAGGGAGTATGGTAAGCGTATAACATATAGCAGATAAATATTTTTCAAAACTTAATGATGTTAGAAAACGTAAATATTATTACGTAAACACTTCTCTTTTAAATTAGGAAGTGTGATGAATTTTTTGCAGTAGCAGGTAGAAATTATCGCAAAGGACCTACAAATATTATCCCGATAACATTGGGTCATTTATTTTAGTAGGAAATAATGAACTGAATCATCTGAACAGTTAATGTGATTAAAATAAATTTTGAAACGCATTCAGGAATTGATCAAAAGGTATTTTGAAAGATGATTTAAAAGCGCAGTCAGTAGAAACGTTGAGAACCTTTGAAGAACGTGATACTTAAACGGTGAAATCCTTCATTGTTTTGTTATAATACATCTGTCACGATTGCATTAACATCAAATATTGCTTTAAAGATCTTTTCAATTGATTACGTCCTTGAAATTTGATTGAAGGTTCTTTAAAACTCCAAGTTCTTTTTTTCCGACGTGGCCACGCAGCCGTAGAACCTTTATATCCGAGTTTGTTTTGAAAAGTCTAAGACACTACTATAATCTTGGTTTCTAGTTTGAATATTTTTCTTTAAATCAGCCCATACGAAATGGCACATAACAGCCAAAGAAAAGAAAACATATACATGTATGTGTATTTAAAACGGCCGGTTATGCCCAGAATGAACATAAAATTTAGTTGAATGAAGAAATAATGTCATTTGTGATACATCCGCCACGTTAAACATCAGAATGTTTAACGTGGCGGGCCGTATCCGGTTCACAGGCCGCTGTTTGCCCACACCTGTTATAATCCAGTTAATTGAATTGTTTGTTATTTAAATACCTCGACTGGCGTCACCAATGTTTGCATACAGCAACGCTCGTTGACCCTGATAGAATTTTCTTTGCGTTTCTTGGAAACACCGGAAATGAAATGATTACAATCGTCTCTCCCCGTGCTGGAACTTTAACCCATATAAACTTTCAGTTGCTTTTTCTATTGCAGAAAGGCTGTATAATTTCTCACAGATGCGCTCTACTGTTTACAATATAGGATTTTGATACCTTGTTTACTTTTTTTCTTTCTTTTTGAGTGAGGGAGCAGTACATCTATTAGCGACACAATTAGACACAATTGAGTTAGGGCAAGCATTAACTGAAACCCCCCCCCCCCATTTCCTCCTGTAAATAAACATAAACAAAATTCATTCCTGTTATGGCAATCTTGTGGCCTTCTTGTTGTAATGCTCTTCTCAACACATTTAAATTTTCATAGATTTAAATAATTTATATGTCAGCTCACGAGTCTTGTCCATATTTACCTATGATAAGAGGAACTCACTCTAAACATCCACGGGATGAAGCTAAGGATGGAAAAGACCCCAACTTGTAGTGGCGTGAAAATGGATCCCAGAGGCAAGTTGCAAAGACATAACCGTGAACACAGCACCCGATTGAAGTTGAAATTAAGCTTAGAGAAAAAGAAAAACTGCCTTGTACTGCTAGGGGCACCGATGAACACTTATTTTTGTGAGTTTAAGGGAAGGATTAATTACAGCTTCCTCTTTGAAGGCCGCATGTCTCTAAAGGGTCGGGGCAGCATATGGAACTTTTTTTTCTTTTTTTTTTCTTTTGTGGGACTTGGCGCACAAAATTCAGGGCTGTCATAGAAGGGAGAATGCGATTTTAATCACGGCTAAAATATAACATCAGATGAAAAAAAAAAGGGGGGTGGGGGGGGGGGGTTCAGTTACAAGATCCGTGGGTGAAAAAAAGACACGGCTTAAAGGACACTCATAATGAACGTGGTCCAAGAACTAGAGCGAAGGCACCATTTACCTGAAGACAAAGAGAAGCTGTATTTGATCACGGAGAGATCCACTGATTAAAGCTTTGAAATTTATGATGTGCGCCTGAAACCAGCAAATGCGGCGATTGCAAAGTCATGCAGTCTTGACTTTTAAAAGGAGGCCGCTCTAAGGACGATTGAGTCATACATGGACGAAGTGGTTAAAATAACACATAAATGGTTCTTGTTCTATGAGCGAAAATACATCTGAATTTTTGTGTACTCATTCAGTACCAAACAGTTGTAACTCCAAGTGAGTAGATTTTGGAGCCTTTTGGAAAGTATAACACATTGTACATTTGTATATTGGCTTGAAGATACGTTAATTATAATAAAACCACTTAATCCCTTCTTCCCTACAGCAGGGGTCTCAACTCGCGGCCCGATGACCACCAACTTGAGGTTGCTCAGTTTAGACCATTCGGCCACCCAGTCAGGGGAGGTAAATGATCCTATAGGATGATGCCAAACAGCGAGAAAATACTGCGGTCGGGGATGGTTTATTCACTCGTTAGTCAGAAAATGTATTGTTTTTGCAGCAGATTGTTTGCTGTTAATGCTACAGAAACATCATCCAATTTTTTAAACATTTAAAAAAAAATATTTTTAATGGGGTTTCAAAAGTGTTGGAAAAAAAGCCGAAAATTACACAATCAAAAGGAATCGGAAGAGTGTCTATGTTGATTTTAAAAATGGAAAACATTGGCATTACGTTTTGAGCTACCCAAAACAATTGATGCCAAAAGTATTGCTGCGAATGACAGAAGAAAAAAAAAAGATTTAAGGTGGTTAGATGTAAAAAAAAAATTCATGTTTGGCCACCATATCTCTTAAGAACATTGGACGAAAATGCTGGTCATTTAGATGAAGGCTGCCCAAGGTCGACCTGTTCTCCAACCCCCCCCCCCCAATGTTCTCTTCTCCCCCGTCGTATTTGACCTAGTTTAGATGTAAAAAAAAAATTCATTTTTGGCCACCATATCTCTTAAGAACATTGGACGAAAATGCTGGTCATTTAGAAGAAGGCTGCCCAAGGTCGACCTGTTCTCCAACCCCCCCCCCCCAATGTTCTCTTCTCCCCCGTCGTATTTGACCTAGTATATGACCTTCTATACTCTGCTAAGGGTCTCCATGTGTGGTTTTCGCCAAAGGTTGAGAAACACTGGAAAATGTTGACTTGACTTTATAAATGGTTTATGATTTTTTTTTTAATTGAGGGGGGGTGGGCATACGTGAAAGGGGACAGTTGCCCCCCAAACAGGACGATGCATCAAGAGGGTTTCTAATATGTTACTCCTTTTTTTTGCGTAAATTATGTAGGAATGACGCCTTATCCCAATCATTTGACTAACGTCAACAACAGAAAAAAACTCATTTTTTAAAAAGCATTTGTTCGAAACATAAAGTACGATTCTTTATTGATCTAAATAAATGGAAAGGTATTTTGATGACATTGTACATATAAATATTTCAGCATATAAATAAATACATATTTAAACATAGACATTTTACAATGATAAAAATTTAAACACAAGACATCTAAAGTATTTCTCTAGCGTAGAAATCAACCATCTTTGCACTCGCTTGGTGTCAAACATAACTTGATTAGGGATTATTTAGATTATTTAACAGCTGGGGGGGGGGCACGCTGGTTAATTCCTACAGGCTATGGACCATAAGAATGTTTATATCTTTGGGTCCCAAGTTTTAGAGAAAGAATTGACCCTTCTCGAATTGACCTTAGGTAACTGAGAGGAAGTGGGTGGGATGTAATCATCCAAATTTTTTTCAGTTTTACAAATTTTTTACTTGAAAGAGTTCCTCAAGTGAAGGGTGTTTCGTTTGTGTGATATCACCAGCTTTCTTCATTAGTCTATTTAATAGGTGTAAATAGCAACCAAATATTTAGAATGATCCTCTCTATCAAATTTTAACGAAAATCTTGGTGGGAATTGCTTATAATTTTGTTGTTGAAATGTCTCAAAAAGAACAGTGGCCGAGGAAAAAAAAGAACAGTTGGCCTAAAGAAGTGCATAAAAACTTTAAAAAAAAATTAAAACGTAATTAAATAATACAATATCATTAAACCACTATATAATCGGGCTTGTCGAGGCCCATGAAGCTTATTTCCCTGCTTTTGGCTCCTGAGATAAAATTGTATTATTGTTTAAATAGTAATCATACTTGTCCATTTTAAGATACACTAGCCAAAATGTGTAGATACATGAAGTTTTCATATAAGCTGATGGCAGAGAGCTCCACTGTATGTTGAATTTTATGTTTTAAAAATGGAAACGATGACCGGAGATTGAAAACAAGACAGCCGTAAAAAAAATTTAAAAAAAAAAAAAAAAAGAAATTCTTTTTCAAAAAATTAAAAAAATTAATTCATTTTTTAATAAAATTTTTAAAAATTTAAAAAAAAAAAAAAAAAAAATAGAGAGCTCCACTGTATGTTGAATTTTATGTTTTAAAAAAGGAAACGAAGACCGGAGATTGAAAACAAAACAGCCGTAAAAAAAATTTAAAAAAAAAAAAAAAAATGGAATTCTTTTTCAGAAAATTAAAGGCATTAATTCATTTTTTAATAACATTTTTAAAAATTGCAAGAAAAAAAACAAAAAAATTATTGTTACCAAAATTACAATAAATAAAATCTAGTTTTACAACATTCTCCACAAAATTACACAATCTTGTATAATATAATATTTTGTAAGATTACTGCGATGTTCTAAAGTCAAAATTTTGAAAGTGTTGATCCGAGCACAAGCATCAACATTGAACCTTGGGCTGCATTTATCTTTAATAACAAAACTTGTTTACCTATTTAGATGATGGCCGATCATAATGAAACTACAACGTATAAAACATATCACCATGGATTTTACAACACTAATGACGCAGATAGAGTACATCTTAACCCAGAACCACCATCGTATAGCTTTGATGAACAAAATACCACTGTGAGTAGCTTGAATAATTGGACGGCTGTCGGCGATTCTGTCAGGACGTCAGCTAATGCGAATATAGTCAATTAACATCAAGACATCAATGCATTTCTTTATATTTTTAACTTCTTTTAAAAAAAAATCTCTTAACTGTTTATTAGCTCCAGTTCAAGAGTTGCATTAATATTTTTTTTGTAATTTCTTCGATCAAAGACGATTTGTTCGTCTCTCCAACCTCCTCGATCGGACCGACCCAAAGTCTCACGTGCGCCCCATTCTCCTTACCAAGACAAAGTTTTATTGGAGACACAAGAGGGATACGTGAATCCACCACAACAGATTGTCGCCTTCGATCGTGTTGCCATTCAAAGGGTGTGTAGAAACGCTTAATCTAAAATAATAGCAAGAACATTTCTGGTTGAATTCGTCTCTTTTTTTTTTTGCCAAGAAAAGGTGAAACATTCTTATTTGATACATAACGCTATCCTAACAAAGGGATTTTAAAGACATCACTTCTAAAAGAGAAAAAAAATTATCTATTTAATTTTTTTTTTTTTTTTTTTTTTTACATTTTAAATTTAAAAAAAAAAGAAACTAGATTCTAGTTAAAACGGCATTTTCTTGGAGTCCGTTCCAGTTGACAATACTTTATCCTTTCTGAATTTACGAAAACTGTTTTTTTGTTGTTGCTGTTTTTTTTTTTTGGCCTACAAAGGATGCATATAAGAAATCTATTTTCGTATATTTTGGGCTCCTAAAATATGAGCGCGATTAAGGCTCTTATTTTTAACGCAACTTATTGTGTTACAAATGCATGCTTCATAATATCTTGTAATGTTTTCCTCATTTTTGTGTGTGTGCTTTTCACGCTTTCAGCCGCTGAATGGTTCACAGGATGTCAGATCTCATTTTCCGTTGAGTGTTATCGTTGCTCTGTGTTGCTGTCTTCCTATTGGAGTATGCGCCATTTGTTTTTCACAACAGGTAATTTGAGTTATAAAAAAAAATATTTTTCGTACTCAAATTTTAAAAAAAAATATTTATAGTTTTAATGGGATTACTTTACTGAAAAGTTTAAATCCGTGGGAAAAAAAGGCAAAGATCTACTAACCTGGGATGTGGAAACCCTTTTGTCTGAGGAGAGAGCCATGGAGACCCCATATTTTGAATAGTAAATCTCTGCAAGCCATACATTACGTTTACAACTAAAAACTCAAGTAAATTTGTGCATTTTGTGTAATTTCAACATTAAAAATGCAATTATTAGGTCTCTGAATTCTTTTTAATAACAATGTTATGCTGTTGCTAACCAATAATGAGTATTTCTTACCATTAATGCAATTTTTTTCGTTTACAGTCTAACATTTGTCTGCGAGCCAGATGCAGCCATCAATAGAGCCATGTCTGGCTCGCGAGCCATAGGTTTCCGACCCCTGGTCAAGCCAAAGGTTGGGGAAGTGGTTGTGGGAAGTGGTTGTGGGGGGGGGGGGTTTGAACTTCTTCAGGAAACCGTTCTAGAAAATTGAACGTGAAATATTGACGCATGAAAGGAAGTAAAAGAAATGTTAAGACACACATTACATAAATATATATTAATCATAACCTACAAGTTAATGACTTCTCGGATCTAACAATCTTGTAATCCATTTTTTTTTTTTTATTGCCACGTCGCACCCCGAAGGGAGTGAGCGGAAACCCTGGTTAAGAATAATGATGAGCTTCAAGTATATAAAAGTTGTTATCATCGTCATGTGTATAACGAATTCAGAAACTTGCCAAATGACATCATTTCGGCCTGTTCATGGAATGGGCCGTCATCACCTTCACATTTGGAGTTACAGTGACATTCCACAATATGATTTTATCGGAAATGAAATCATTGAGCCAATTCGTTTTGTGCTCGGGTCGTGTAAATGGGTTCTCTAGTCATCACTTTGCTTAGGTTGAACCGATGCTCATTTATAGGTCTGAATTAATAGGGGTAAAATATGAATTGAATCTCGCACCCAGGAGCGTTTAACATGAAAGGCAAGTTTGTTTGCAAAAAATGCAACTATCATTCCCATAAGGGTAGTTTGAAATGGAGGGGGGGGGGAGTTGGTCAAATAAATCAGCCAACCCGGATGCCTTCTTCAAATGACCTCAGAACCTCAAATCGCCCATCAAAATTGGCATATTGAATATCATTTATTGGTGAAACACATGAGGGACAGGGAAAAAGCTTTTTCCCTGCACGGCCATAATTTCAGTTCAATGTCTTGCAGTGTCCTAGATAGTTGTAATGTTAAAGATTCCACTTCTGGTCACGTGATTCTTGCTTTTAAAAAAAAAATCAGTCTGCCACAAAGAAAACTGCGAAAAGTTCATTTTTCTGATGGGAACTTAACAAATAATCGGTTTTTTTTAACACCTGGATCTCATGTCGAAATGGAACAATTGAGGTGTGATCAATAAAATAGTCACTTTAGACCAGTGTTTGTTATCAACTTTCCTAATGCCGCGATCAAGCCTTTAATACAGTTCCTCGAGATGTGGCGACCCCCAGCCACAAAATTTTGTTCGTTCCTTCATCATAACTGTAGAGTATTTCTGTTATTCGATGGTCTTATGTGACCCCTGTTAAAGGGTCATTCGACCCCCTCCCCAAAATCGGTCGCGACCGACAGGTTGAGAACCGCTGCTTTAGAACAACAACTGTTTTCCTGACCGCCCCCCCTCCTCCCCCCCACCCCCCAAGGGTGATCGGAGGAGGCAAATGCGGTGAAAATAAGGTTTTTTGCATCTTTATTTGAATGCATTACCTCGGGGATGAGGGAAACATGTTTTTAAATCGAGATTTTTTTTCTGAGTTATGTAATTGTTACGTACCGCTAAGTTGTAGAGAATTTACACTCTTATTTTACTCTGTGGCTCGTGTCAAACAGTACTTAGCAAAGGACAATAGCGTTAATCAAATACAATAATAAAGAAACGTTACCCAAACTAGGGCTAATTACATATAATAATTTATTATGTCAACTTTACAATAGAACAATCAATTAGAATAAAATTAAAGCTGTTTACTTACAGTACAGCATCAACGTGTACCGGTACAACGTTGAAGAAGGTGCACACACAAGGAGAAATAAAAAAATATATATTAATAAACAAATCTTTGTTTCGTATCGTAGAAGCAAAAGTCTCTCGTAATAACTAAATTTCTCTTTCCCCTCATAACTTTGTATGTCGGTAGGCGTATTTATAGTCTTTTTTAGATTATTTCCTAGAATGGATTCGGCATAGTACCAGCACTTATACCCGACTCATGCATTCTAAGGATTTCTACTTCTACAGACTATATAGATAGTATTTAGAAGTAGTCAGGGTCAAGGGAGACAATATGTAATTAAGCCACACAGCTTTGCGTTACCAAACTTGGGTTCATCTAAAGTTTATGCACGAGTTTCACAACAGTAATCAAATCTAAAGTGTGTGCAGCTGGGACAAAATCTTCAGAAACTCTGCCACGAAATGTCGTAAATACTTTAGATACACACATGTCGTAAATATGACCCAACTCCTTTAAGTCCATTGTTTTCTAGATTATAACTTAAAAAATCTTGCTTCTTATCACAGACATGTCATCCTTTAGTCTCGATAGTAATCCAAGTAACGTATTTACCGTTTGAATTGCTCTTTTTCACAGGCCAAAGCTTCCTTGGCTAGAGGCAATTACAGAGAAGCCAAGAGATATTCCAAAAGAGCGTTGTATCTGAGCATCTGCGGCATCGTCCTCGGCATTATCTTCGCGGGGATTTTATTCTACATTATATATTTCAAAGAGTAAAGAATACAACTGAAAGCATCCAAAGACATTAAAATTGGCCGATAGAATATTTGGAAATGAAAACAAATGGGTAACTCAAATGTTTAGCTACTAAAATTTTAAATATTATTTTTCATAACATTCAAAATAAAAATTATGTAAAGAATTCACCCGAAAATTCGTCAAGGAAGTCTGTCAGATATCAGTTGGTTCCAAAATAAAATCAAAATATTAATTTAACTAAATTCCAATGTGCATTGGGACAGCCCAACCGGGGAACCGTCGACCACAGCAGGCAGACTGTCGGTCACAGCTGGGAAACTGTCGGTCACAGCTGTGGGACTGTCGGTCACGGCTAAGGGGCTGTCGGTCACAGCTGTGGGACTGTCGGTCACAGCTGTGTGACTGTCGGTCACGGCTGGGGGACTGTCGGTCACAGCTGGGTTTAGGATTTTAAAGTCACTTGCAATAATTAGAAATGTATATTTTAAATACTGTTTTAAAATATATTTTTTGTTTGAAATGTGTAAGGACAAGAAAGATCGAATGATGAGTTTTTAGTGTTGTCGTACCATAAAGTGACATTAAAACCCACCCGTGCTAATTGATTTGTCCATTTCAGAGTGGATTTTGTGTGTTATTTTCAAAACATTTATATTTATGGGAAGATTTTAAACTATATTTGTGAACATTTCGACTCGTACATTTATATTTGCCTGAAACTTCTGGCAGTAAATTCGCTTGTCATCGCCTGTGTTTGTTGCAATTATTGTTATACTTGATGTTAGGTTTGTATTGCATGACACAAAAGCTGCTTTTATATTATCGGAATATTACAATTGATGATTTTAACTTTTTGATGATTAAAACTATTAAAATACGGTTATCTGCCTTATGGTAATTTGTTTTTCTTTTTTAAAAAAGTTAAATTTAATCTTTTCTTAATATCATTCCTAATTTCATTAGAGTGAAAACTTTGAGCTGAAGAGTTATGAAACAAATCAGGCAGTTTGGGCCATTTAAGGATTTTCCCTTTATCTCTCTTCAACACTGTGCAACACTGGATTAGAAAGAGGGGGGTGCCGGAGGTGGTGTTCTGCCCCCCCAAATGGCATTTTTAAAATGTATCGTGATGTACGCCAATTTCAGCCAACTGCAGATTTTGCTTCAAACCCCTCACAGACCCAAGATAGGCTTCGAAAAAACACTAAGAATTATTTTATACAGCTCCCTGATTCCACCTAGGTGCTGTCCTGTTACTCGATGAGTTTGTCTAACATACTTTCTGTCGCCACAAGACTATGTCGTGCTCCGTTTGAGACTACGTTCCAAAGGTCCTAATGCTGCACCTTTTTCAAACTTTGCATCAACGCACATTGAAAAAATAACAATACCCATTATATTATTTTTGGCGAGAAAAATTAATAACCATTCACTACCATATAAAATATATATATAAAATTAATTAGTTAATGATAAAACAAAGGAAAACGGCAATGATGTATACATTTTTTTAGACAGATATGAATAGGCTAGTTTCAGCTGGTCATTTTCATGGAGTGAGTTGATACGACTCGATGTTTTTCATGATTTGTTAGCGTTCTGTTGTTTCAAGGCGCATGTAACTCTTACCTTCTTTCAATATTCAATTTTCCATGTGTTGCTGTGTTGCTGTGTTGCTGTGTTGCGCCGGGTTGAAATGGCTAGAAAGACTTTGCCATCGTATGCTTGTCATTAGTTTTTGTAGTGTTGCGTTTGTTTTAAATGTGGTAAATTATAGATATGTTTTTTGTTGACTTTGTACCGCGCTTCGAGCCTTTGGGGATGAAGCGTGTTTTTGAAATGAACTTTATTATTATTATTAATATTGAGGAAAAAATCATTTCTAAGACAACGTTTCAATGCTGGTCCATTTAAGTTTTCATTTTTATTTAATGTTCTGGGGAAATGAAACGACCAAGATATTTAACAAAATTATTTTATCTAATAAACCATGCCTAATCCAACCAGCAGTCCCGCACCACCAGCAGTCCCACACCACCAGCAGTCCCACATCACCAGCAGTCCCACACCACCAGCAGTCCCACATCACAAGCAGTCCCACACCACCAGCAGTCCCACACCACCAGCAGTCCCACACCACCAGCAGTCCCACACCACCAACAGTCCCAAACCACCAGCATCCCAAGACCACCTGCATCCAAACACCACCTGCATCCAAACACCACCAGCATCCAAACACCACAAGCATCCAAAAACCACCAGCATCCCCACACCACGAGAAGCCCCATACCACCAGCAATCCCAACCACCAGCAATCCCACACCACCAGCAATCCCACACCACCAGCATCCTAAGACCACCAGCAGTCTCACACCACCAGCAGACCCACATCACCAGCAGTCCCACATCACCAGCAGTCCCACACCACCAGCTCCTTAGTGCAAATGAAAGAAGATTTTCATTGATTGCACCACGTTTAAAAAACCCTGTACATAAAATAAATTGTACATTGAGTAATCATTGACAGTAGAAAAAAACAACGGATGCGTGATTGAAAGCCCATTCGTTCCAATTGTTAACTTTGGGCTTATTACATGTTACTGATCAACTGAATAGTGCTTGACGGTAGAAAAACAGGTTTGCTATATTTAAAGGAAATTCTGTCTGCAGACTTTATGTAAATCTCCCTCAGCCAGGTCAGTTTTGTTCAAGAAATATTTCTTTTCTCCATAAAGGCAAGCCTTATAACTTTAGAAGTATCACTGAAATATTGCAATCACTGTTTTGGACTGAGCTATTGCTCTGTAATGGCCCCTGTCAAGTATATTACAGGCCTGCCTCATCTGCTGGTCTGTGCCATACGTCAGACTGTCAACGTCTGATGGCTTGGAGTAGCCCCACTAGTAGGTGCTCGACGGTCTCAGGCGTACCCCAGACTCACAGCAATGATGGCAAGATGAATGACTCAATGGTTCGTCTTGATTCGTGCTATACCTGAGACTTGAGACAAACGTGAGACGCCACTGAAGTCTGGACACTACTAACTTTGTAGGATGTTGTAGCTGTTTGACTTAAAACACACTTAAAGATAAAGTTTGCGCCACCAGATATTGTATCGTAGGTGCAGCTTAAAGATAGTGGATATTGGAATTTTTTCTTAGTACTTCAGAAAGTAAATAAAAGTAAATTCATACATTTACAATCAGCAAAACAAGAATTACATTCGTTTGGAAATATAATAAGTTGCCTACTTGATAAATGAAGTTAACTGATGCACGGCGCCACATTCTGATAAGGTATTCGATTACTTCGTTCACTTTTTCATTCACCTGCTCATCACGTGTGTTTTTTAATACTTTAGAAAAAAAAATGTGTACATGATGCGACGGATTACACATTGGATACAGATTTGAACTTTGATTGAGAGTGTCTATGAAGATTGCTTGACAGGCCTATGTGTGCCTGGAAAGCTTGCCAGCCTGAATAAAAGGAGTGTTCAGGTCCCAGTAGGATTGGAGGTGATTGTGCTTTTCGTCGCTGTGCTATTCTTTGGGCCTGAACTGTACGTTTTATCTCTGAAGACCCTGCTCCCAATGACATGTTTGCCTCACATACTTTAAAAAAAAAAATTCTCCCAGCAGCTAAGAGCGATTTCTGCAAGTTTACCAAATAATAGTTGTTTAGGCAGTCTGCTGATTGGCACTCTCGCCAATTGCCCTGGCCATCTGGCTTGTACCTTTTTTATGAACATATTAATGCTGATAAAGCAAGCCTGTTTTATGACTACTGTACTAAGCTGTTATGTTCGACGTGTTTACGCCATATTTCCGCCGTGCTGCAATCCCTAGCATGGGGCGTGGCTTAATCCCTTTGATCTTGTTTATCACAAACTTAGCTATCGCCTGTTCTTGTTGACTAGAAGGCTTTAGAAATGTACAGTTAATTCTGGAATGTGCTAGTTACTAGTAAAATTCGGAATACGCCTAGAATTTTCGGTAGAACCGACTATAAAAGCAAAAAGAGCAATATTGAAGAAAGATATATTTTTGACTTTACACGACAAGGGTGAATTAGTTTGTGTGTACTCATGTGTTTATTCGCATACACCATTGTACATTATAATTGGCACATCGTATTAACTGTGTACATGTACAAGCGATACCATACTCTGTAAGTTGATAATTTTTAAATTATAGTTATTTTATTTTGTAATCCATAGTAATTTAATAAATCTTATTTATTATAATTAGTACTGTTTTGAATGTCGTAGTTTTGCTTTTGTATTTCTGATATGGTATCGTCCTTTGTTATGCACTGCTTAGAACGAGCCATAAAATTAAAATAAGAGATTAATTTATCCATATAGAAGGCCGTGCGGAAAATAAGCATTTTATCCCTCAACCGTATGCAAAGAATATTGCAAAAACAGCTTAGGTGGAGATGGTTTACTTATATAGCATGTCTGTTTACACTGCCAAGGTTTCGCTAGCGTTTAGAAAAAGCCTTATATTCATTCCACTTAGCGACAAAACTGATACCAGTTCAGTCCCAGACACTCGTGTTGTGTCTTCCTATTATGACATATGCTTGATAAATTATGATGATCTTATTGACTTTTGTTACAACTATGCGATGGCGCCGCCTAAATATGTGAAGTTTTTCACTGCTTAGAGACTTCGGGCCTTTATTGTCATGCATTGTGTAAGATTTTCCTGGGGCTTGGTGGTGAAAGAACTATTTTTTTATTGACGTTGAGACCGTAGTTGTCTGAAGCATTACAAAGCGTTAGGAAGAGATCACAAATTCGCTTAGAGGTCGTCCATTACATACGTCAACACTTTTTAAGCAATTTCCCCCCCCCCCTTGTCAACAACTGTCAAACTTTCAATGACCTCTCAATTTAATTTTGTCAAAATTTTCTACTCCTCCACCCCCCCTCCCCCCTTGTCAAACTTTCAATGACCTCTCAATTTAATTTTGTCAAAATTTTCTACTCCTCCACCCCCCCTCCCCCCGCTCCCCAAAAAAAAAAGTGAAAAAGTGAATTATATAAGTGAGTAATCTCAGACCGTCACCAGAATATGTGTGTTAGTTAGTAGCCTTGACTCGAACCGTATTTTGTTTTTAAGGTGAGGAGGCTTTCTTACTTCGTCAACCTAACCCTGTCGTCTTGGTCTATTTGATCCAATGTTTAGTCTTTGTCAAGCTGACTGGAAATAGACCAGGATGCAGCAGTGGATGACCAGCAGTGTGCTCGCGTGTGGGTACCGATGCTCTTTATGCCATCCTAGTCGCAGGAGTTGTTGGAATTTTCATTGTGTCAAAATCATAACGCCCACACGACTCCGCGTTTGATTTCAAAGTTTGCCTTTCCTTAGATGAGTTGTCATGCAAGGTTAACGCGTCCCATCCATCCGGGGCGCTGGTGATATATTTGCATGTCTACGCCATTGCATGCGATTGACTCAATTTAGACCACTCGGCCTCCCAGCACTATCGCAATAGCAGCCAAACGTCTCCATTATCTTCCACAGGCCAACTTAACTGCCCGAGTCGATTGTTGTCGTCAGATCAACGCATGGGATAAACAGGCTAGCGTGGTCCTCTTGGCATTTTTCCGGCAGCTCGCTTGCAGCAAATATCACGCCAGCTGTGCGCCGATGTAAATGGAATCAAATTGGGAAAATGTTTTGCTCATTATTCGCTAGGGAAAAAGGGAAACAATAAAACACGGGCTAACTTTCGAGCAGGAACTTGGCGTTCAGAAACTACGTACTGAAATGATTCCAGTTGAAAATAAATGATATTCATACCAAAAACGCGATGCTCTTTTTTTTTTTAAAGCAGCTATTTTCTGTCCGTTAAAAGAAATCGAACAG